GGAAGACAAAAATCAAAAGACACACAAGATGAACGAAGTTTGGCGGCGATGGAAAGACGTCGAGAGATGGAGAAAGTAATTCAACACATCACACCTCCATGCCCCGCCCCATTCCACCCTGCCCCAGTAATACCCTATTTCGCAGAATTATCTGAAGATAATCCAATATGTTGGTATGCAAAAGATTGATACCACACAACCCTAGCTGGCAGTAAGGATAAAGCTCAGTGATCATAGTTTCCTCTTTATAATCCTTACAAAATAACTACAATAGCAGAAACAAACGCTACAAAATTTTGTCCTGTTCACTGCCCAAGTTAACAGCCAGTCATGGTGAGGCTAAAACCAGTAAACTGTTGCTAGGCCTGGGCAATATGGCTGAAAAATCCATCATGATATAAACGTTTCATATCAATACTGATAATTATTCATTAGTATTTTTGTTTTACCTATTTGTAATCAGGACAAGAAAAAAAGGCTGATTAACTGGTGACAAGACCTTTCCTCTTTTATCTACAATTTCCTCTCAAGCAGTTAAATTCATTTTCTCCTTTCAACCTAGCTTACCAGAGTGAGTGAGTTAGTTGATCCCACTGACCTTTCTTGGCTGGGCCATGAGAAATCGACTAGAGCGGCTAAAGCCTTTGCTCAGCCTACATCCTGCAGAATGTTGTGTGGTTCTGGATCAGAGTTCAGTCAAATTGTCAACATGTCTATTACGATATAATGTTGAATTATTGTCCAGCCATAATTGTTGCCATCTTAAAAGGCTCAACCAACTTCAGATTTATAACGGTACATGTGAATGCTATAATTTATTTTGCATTACRCATTTTTCCGCAGTAATATTGTAATAACTCTATCAGAAGTGCTACAGCCAACTGGTGCATTTTGCACTTGCTATTCACAATCTTTCCCCTGAGCTCCACTTCAAAAGATCTAAACTATCATTAAAAAAATATGTTGTGAAAAAGAGCCCACCTGTTCCAAATGGCTCCGTGCCATTCTCCATTTCAAAGGGAAAAGGCTCTGCTACAGTGTTGACATCACCTACAAAGAAAAGAGCTGTACGTGAATTAGAGTAGAAATTAGGTGGAAGATCAGTTAGAAAATRTAAAAGAATCTGACCAGGGCACGGTTCCAGATCACACTTAGAAGATTCGGTGAGGGTGCAGGAATAACCACAGGACTTGGTTCTCTTCCTTTCGCCGTGTCCACACGTCACAGAGCACGGAGACCAAGGAGTCCATTCATCTGTGTCTTTATCTGTGGGAGAGAGAGAGAAAAAAATCACCACTGGTTCACGCTAATCTCATGTAATTCACTCCGTGTAGATCAAAGCCAGCTAAACACTCTGTGATTAGATCAGTGCAAAAAACAGAGCAAACAAAACAAAATCATTTTTGTTTTGACAAGGATCTGTGTACTGCAGCAAGTCGAATCCAGCACAAGCRTTCAAAGTTTCCGAAAGGTCTCAGTCTATACAAACGACAATTTTCTCCCAGCTTAACCTTTCACATGCAAACCCATGTTCTTTTTAAGCTGGCTTCAGTAAAATTAAAGGGAGAGAGGCTGTGCTGTGGCTGTCCGCCTCCGCACCATATTGCCTTGTGGTGTTAATAACACTCAAAACAACTCATTCCTGATTAAAGGCGAGGTGGGTGCAGAAATACCAGCTTGGGTGTAGCAAGCACCCAAATTTGACTTTGTGGGTAATGCCAACTCGCCATGTGGCCATGTGACTGTGAGGTCTCAGGAGGGCTGTAATTACAGAACAAGCTAAGGTTGGCATCTTTGATTTATGTTCCTCGAGTCYTTAGATGTGACGGTCAATGTTGCCTTTGGATGATTGTAACGAGGTAAAGGATTAGAGTAAATTAAGTTTTAGATACCTGCGACAATGTCACAGTTAAATAAAGGGTAAAATCTAAAAAAGAAAGGGAAACACAAATACATCATATTTAATAATTTTTTGGAAATAACTCTGAAAATGTGATTATTATAAAGTAGTTTAAAGGGATCCCCAGTTAGTTGTAACATTTAGACTTTATATGATAAACATATACTTTAACAGTAAAGTAAAGACCGTAAAAATACTGTAGGATGTTCAGTTTTTATAATTTTTAAACTAAAAGTTTAAAAATATATTACATGGATGGGGCCATTTTATTTACATGCAAAGCATTCTGGGTAAATGATGACATCAACTAGGTTATTGGTGGGAGGCTGCTAGCAAGCTATATCCACCCTGAAGTTTAATCTTGAACAATATCTGATGATCGRCTCTTTTAAATGAAACCAGAGAGCGTTGACAGAGAGGAGAAGGTAGAAATGACTCAGCCTGTAACTGAAAATATGGATGGAGGACAACAGAGCTGCTTCATGGAAGAAGAACCTCAGCTTAGCCTGTTAGCTTTRGCGTTAGCCCCGATGCTATCACCGTATATATGTATTAGCTCAGCGCTACACATTCTCCTCTCATCACTGAGGTCCTCCATCCACATGACAGAGAGGAGAACGCAAAAATGACTCAGCCTGCAACTGAAAATATGGATAGAGGACCTCAGTTTAGCTTGTCTGTCGCACTAGCGCCGAGCTAATACATATAAGGTARTGTAGCGTGAGAGCTAGTGCAAAGGCTAACAGGCTAAGCTGAGGTTCTTCTTCCATGAAGCAGCTCTGTTGTCCTCCATCCATATTTTCAGTTACAGGCTGAGTCATTTCTATCTTCTCCTCTCTGTCAACGCTCTCTGGTTTCATTTAAAAGAGCCGATCATCAGATATTGTCCAAGATTAAACTTCAGGGTGGATATAGCTCGCTAGCAGCCTCGCACCGATGACCTAGTTGATGTCATCATTTACCCAGAATGCTTTGCGTGTATTTAAAATGGCTCAGTCCGTGTTAAAATATATTTTAAAAAATTTACAAGTCTAAACAGCCTACAGTATTTTTACAGTTTTTATTTTACAGTTAAAATAAATGTTTATCAAATAAAGTCTAATGTTACAACTAATCGTGGATCCCTTTAAGACTTAGCACTCATCTACGATCAGTTCAGTTTTTTTCTGACTCGTCTCCATTGTGGACACTCTCCTGTTTCTTTGTTCACATTTTTCTCTATTTTTATCACCAAACACACTGTCTGTGCAGGCAGGGAGTTATAATGTGCCCTTACGGTCTCACARAATTCTTGAACCTGTTCAAAAAGACCTGCCGCAGAGGATAGTGAGGGCCATCAGGGTCTAAAGGGGGAGCGGGGGAGCTCAGGGGGTCCCGGGGAAGGATGAAAGAGGCCGAGCGAACAGTCCCTGTCATTCTGCGTTGCCAATCTGCCCTCTAATTGTCCACAAGCAGAGGGATGTTTTGTCCCAGCGAACAGTGCCGGCCTCACGCTGCCATTAGCGAGCGCATCAAACCCATTTTCAAAAGGCAGACCTCTGCGACCAGCATGGTAGTGTCGACTTCAAAGCAGCCGTAACCCACAATGCCCTCATGGTTGAGTGCTCATGCTTCCTCATATGCTGGCATCGTTTAGCTCTCTGTGACAGTCTATAAAAGCTGCTCRGTGGGCTGGTCTCTTTTTTACTGATCCTGATTTTTTTTTTCCTGTCAGGTAATTTGTTTCTCAATTTGTCGTGATAAAATGATTCTATTTATCAAACGGACAGTAATTGGGAATAGATTGGAATCTGGTCAGCCGTACCATAATAGCTCTGCATGGGATCCCAACCTTCGTTCCAGTGGGGATCCCAGTCTCCGCCCACACCGCTAGGCAAGGGCTCTTCACTGCCATAATCCAAAGAGTAATCTTCCTCTGCCTCCTCTTCGCTTGTTTCCTCCATGCCCGACCGACTGTTGCTGCCCTCGCTGGAGTCAGTGTCGGTGTAACTCCAAAAGAGGGGCCAGAAAAGCTTCTTCCCTCCGAGCCAGTCTACTGTGGAAGAAGGGGAGGATGGAGGTAGCCAGTCTTTTTCATTGGCCAGGTCCATCTCTACCTCCATCTTTGGGTCATCCACCACCTCTATGGTTACCTGTGAAGAAGAGAGGGGCTTTGTTAACATCCATTATGGACACACTGTTCTGAAGCCAAAGAGTTTACTTAAAAACACAAYTCAAAGCAAGCTGTTTTATCTATAAACAACTAAGCAGTGGATCATTTTTGCTTTGTGTCTCCTTTTATTGTTGCATGGAAAGGTTAACAAATACAAGCATTTTTTACAGCTTTAACACTTTACTAATGGCCTCTCTTCAGAAAATAAGCCGTGTCAAATCACTGGAAGAAACTTTAGTGACTAAACCCTTTCTCCATTTCGTGATCAGCCAGTGAACAAGAGCATTCAGTGAGAAAACTTGAACCTTCCTTCTGGATAATTACCTTTCACTTACTCAACGTGACTCATCTGACATTCTACAGCTCAGGAAACATGTTTGTCTTACATGAATAGTTTTTTTTGCTTATCTGCTACAAGAGAGCACATAAAATATTTAATGTGTGTCTGCCCGTGACATTAGACAGTCATCAATCAGTCATATTATGACCACCAACTATAATATGACTATAACTACCAATCTTGTTACAATGTGTCACTATGTAGACGTGCCATCCAACTAAATAAATATCTAGACTGATCACACCTCATGCACATGGTAGCAGCCCTACAAAACAGCATTTCTAGATTAGCATAGAATGCTTAATACTTTGAGTTGTGGCCAGTGAACATGTAAAATAGGTTCCCTTTTCTTTTTATTAAGACAGTGTTAAATATAATACAGTAGCATGTGAATCCCCTCTTCCCACTTACCTGTATGTTGGGATTCTGTGAGTTCATGTCAGCGTTGGCCAGGTCTGGAAAGTTGTTGAGGTCAAAGATGAAGGGTTTGGTCTCCTCCTCTGGCTCGGGCTGTGGAAGGACACCAACGGAGCGTTGTTTAGGGTGAGACCACCTCCTCTGCTGGCTGTGAGGCTCAGGCAGAAGGCTCTGGACCTGGTTCTGCTGCTCCTCAGCATCATGCGGGACTCCACCACTGGGAACTGGCTGGCCATAAATCTTAAAGAAAAAGAAGTTGGAGATGAGCGGTTTATTTTCATTGCTAAGTGTTTTCTCTAAAGTAGTTACACTATTCACTTTATTCTTTTATTATTTGAATAAAGAGATAACGGTTAAATGCATATTTGCAGTGTTGTAAAAAATACCACAAAGAGATACTTAAGTAAAAGTACAAGTATCTTATGAAAAACTACTTTGGTAAAAGTTAAAATCTCCTTTAGGAATATTACTTGAATAAAAGTCTTAAAGTATTTGATGCTTTTTGTAATTAAGTATTAAAAGTAAAAGTATTGAACTAAAATGAGCAGTTATGTTTTCTGTAAGTACATATATTTGGAGGTGACCTCCCCAAAAAATGCAGGAATTACTATATTGTATTAAAATAATTAATTGATGTTAAATTTAAGATGCACTAGTCTAGCTGTTTCAGTTTATATACATATATTAAGGGTGACCAAACCTTTTCCCCAAAATAAAAATCTATCTGAGGGCTGTAGCCAGATGCAATAATATAATTCATGAGATACAAATACTTCTTAAGTACAGCCCTTTTATTTTAACGATTATGTCCTGCTGGAGTGTGACATGATTTGTTTGTGGTCAAACTAAAACAGTATCAGAATCTTACACATTTATACTTCTCATTCAACCACAATTAAATTCACTCTATCTAGGAGGCATATTTTATAGTATTAATTTTTTACAAGAACAATCTGGACTGGAGTTAACACCAAAAATTAATTAGTTTTAGTTGTAGACCCAATGATTATTCATGAAAGTTTTATTAAAATCCAACCAGTGTTTTATGAGATACTGAGCTAACACAGCTGACAAACGTACACACACAAAGCTATTGGCTTTTTTTTTAGAGCTGATGTATAAAACATGCCAAATATGATGGTTTATTGAAGTGTTTTTTTTTCTCACTCAGAAACTGTGATAAAAATCAAACATTTCACAGCTTTGGTCAGCGGTTCCAAGAAGCCATGAAGCATCAAACTAGCAATCCAAGTGATCATCCACTGTTTGTTTCATTTTCTGTTATTTTTTTTTTCCCACAGTGGTCATGGCATCCAGACTGTGGACAAAGAGCGCCCTGTGCCAGAGAGATCCTCTTTTAGCTTTAATGAGAGGGCCTGGGAGGCGTGGGACCCCTGGGCGGATGCAAGTGTGTCTGAACCTGCCCTGTTGCTGTCATTACGGGCTCTGCTTCATGTGACCTTTTTTTTGATTTTTACAGTTACAAAGAAACATGATGACTCGGAGGGAATGTCGAGCCTTGAAAGTAATACTAATTAATGGTCGGGAATGTTAGCTACAGGCGCTGTGTTTGGAATATGGTAATAAGAATTTAACTTCTTTGGTGGTTTTCTGATTCTCAGTGAGCTGCCTTTAAAGGAAATACACCTACGTTGTTGATTTGAAGTCATATCCACACCCTCTACTGAACACTTGTCTGCCATTCAACCACGTCATGTGCTAAATTGGCCTTCACATATGATTGGACAAGAATTTCAGAATAAAAAAATGAGCCATTTTGTGGTCCGCTCAGTAAAACAGGAGCAGTTGGACGTTCTAGGGAGAACTGTCTGAATTCACGGTCAGTGAGTAGATGATTTACAATTATGGCCTGTGGAAGACGGTGTGTATTTCAGTGACTGCCTGTGTTTGGGCCATAAAGAGCTCACATCGTTGGTCAAATATAGGAGTGTGGCTAAAGTTTGTATAGAAAAAAAAAGCCAGCCATGATGAATGATCGAGTTGAGCCAACCTTGTCAAATGTCTAAAAACGAGCGACGACAAACAGGTAACCCTTTAGGAACATTAGCCTTTGTAACCAGATACAATGTTTGGAAACACTTCAAGCAAACTTGATGTGTAGTAAAATAAATCCAAAGTGATGAAGTCCTAAATCACTTCAGTTTTCAGCAGTAATTAACATGTTAATCTATGAAACCTGACAGCAGTACAACAAATATACAACAAACGAGCACCTTTGTGTCATCGTGAACACGTCATGTGATTTTTTAGTAGAAAACTTATATATTAATTTTATTTTCAGTGGAAATTTGTTGTTTTTTGGGCTTGACTATAGCAATTAATGCAACATACTGAGATGGTTTTTTTTCACAGTACTTTTCCAGTCAGCGTGCTGCTGCACATCGTCTCGAAAATTAAGAAAAACTACTTGAAGCGTCCGAGCATCTTTAGAAAATGTTCTTATCTCCATTAGTTTTACATTACATTGTTATTAAGGCAGAACACTTGTCATGTTCCTGCCTGGTGCACCACAGGCTGCATCGGAAGTGCTACAGCTAGCTGCTGTTCCTACAAATAAGCACAGAACTCTGTGTAGCTGACAACGATGGAGATGCAAAGGCTTGTAAAATCGATTGCTAATAATGTTATTGGATTAGAATTGTTTGTAGTGATCTGTGGATCATGGTTTAATTTGACAAATCCTTTAATATATTTTCCACGCATGGAGCGAAGTGAAGTCACAAACCCAAAGGAGCTGAAGTCCAGAGTCACCCTAGAGACGGCATACTTTCACACCCTCCTCATCTCGTGTTGCTTCACATCTGGATCCTGTATTCTCTCACCCTGTATATCACTCTCCTCCTCCTCTCTGATCCTGCTCTCCTCCTCTCTGGGCAGTGGGGGCTCCTCTGATCAAAGACCTCGTCGCTGATGGCATGCGGTGTGTTAAACAGGGAGGCTTCGCGGATGCAGTGGGGACCCTGATCTGACGCGGAGACTGCAGACTTCAGATATGACTGGCAGCTTGAATTACAGAGTGACCTTTTTTTTAGATGAAATTAGAAGATTGGACCCTTTTGATGCTACTGTCGATGCTACTGCTGACGATGACACGCATTCAGGTTAAGAGGAGGTCTGGATGAGGCCAGCAGGGTGTGTGTGTGTGTGTGTGTGGGGTGGTTGGGGGGGGGTGGCGAGGGTGCTTAAGTGAGGGGCAGGGATGAGATCCGGAAAAACTGGCGGGGAGGCTGGGAAGGCACGCAGTGTGGCAGCCCTGATTTATGTGCACGCAGATATCAAAGGCCCCTGCACTTGGCTGTTTCCAAACCATTACAGAAGAACAATAAACCATGGACGCTCTTTGATCGGCAGCTTTGTTCAAACAGAAACAGGACAACAAATGTACGCTCAGGGTAACCRGGGGTGAGGATGGAGGGGTGGGAAGGGGTGCAAAGCAGAGCGTAAACGGGGGGGTTGGGGGTGGTAGGGGGAGGTAAAGCCCCAAAACAGGAAATTCCACATTAACACAAAAAAAGAGCCAACGTAAACAAGCAGATGAGTGACACTTGAAGAGCTGCAGTGTGAGAGATGCTCCGAGCCTGATTTGTTCCCACACAGGCAGTGATGGTTTTATCAGACTTGTATAGTAACAAAGTACATTTACTTTTGCAGTACGTAAGTAATTTTTTGAGGATTTGTAACTTCACCAACTATTCTTTTTTTTATCATAACTTGTACTTTTATTTCGTTACATGCAAAACCTAAAATGTAACACGTAGTTACACACTTTCAATATGATCAGAACTGATCAGGAAAGGAGTGGTTTGTGCACTGTGAAATAATGAAGTGTTGAATTAACAGAACCAAGTCATGTCAACTGGTTCCACTAAGCCCAGTGGTTCCCAAACGTTTYATCTTCTGACCCACAAAATATCCATGGCAAAAACTTGTGACCCCAAATATTACTGGTCTGAGTACACAAACTTCCCTAAAAACAAAGGCTACACAAATATAAATACTTATTTATACTTATTTTGTGTTTTTGTAATARTTATAGGGAAAATATTACATCAGCAATTATTTTATTACSCTTTAAATTGATTTCTGGAGATTATCCAAGGWGCTTCATGACCCATAATTGGGTCCCAAGCCCAACTTTGGGAACCAAAGTGCAGTGGTTCCCAAACTTTTCAGCTTTTGACCCACAAAATAACAGTAGCAGAGACGTGAGCCCACAACTATTTTTGGATGATAAACATTTTTATCAGGTCAACTAAACATGGGCATAGTAACAATATTTATTATTCTACCTTTTTATACAGTATTTTAGGCAGCTAAGGCAAAAAATGTAATTTTGAAAATCTTTTCAGGACCCCACCTTGATGTTTCAGGACCCCACTTTGGGTCCCGACCCCAACGTTGGGAACCACTGCCTATGAGTTAAGCAGTTTACTCAACTCGGTTTAGTGAAACCAGTTTGGTTAAGCGAATTCAACACTTCATTTCTTAGAGTGTGTGTAAAAGTACTCTATTTTTGGTAATTATTGTGAGCTTTACATCTTTTAAGTCATTTTCCATTAAAGTATTTCTACTTTTATTTTTCTTCAAGTACTTTATAGACATCTGGTTTTTATCAGCATCTTGTCTGTTAGTAAAATATCTCATAAACCACTAAAAAAATTCTAATGAAAATTTTCAAAAAAGAATCTAAATCAATGTTTATGTTTAAAAAGATGATTTGGTCGAAATTATTGGGAAATTTTACCATTTGTAGTATCTAGTGGAAAAAAAGAAACGAAGACATACAACTTYTTTTGTCTTGTTTTTTATTAAAGCTTTGAATTAGTTTGTTGAAGTTGTTTTTTTTTTTTTCTTCACGGTGCACCCTTTTCATTTACGGCATGATTTTACTTTTTGTTTTTATCTTACTGTATATAGATTGTTTTTTTGAATGAAATAAATTGAATAAACTAAACTAAGCTAAACTGATCATTTGATGTTCGTCTACCACTGATTAACTTTTCGAGCCAACCTGATTCAAGATGGCCGCCACAGCAAACTTACCTCAGTGAGCAGAAAATTGAATATAACAGCCTGTTTTACAAGTAATGAGCTAAATTTTGTTTTTGGTAGTAGCTAGTGTTATTCCCAACATAAAGTCTAAGCTCTAATTAATAAAACATGATCTGTTTTTAAAACTGTACCAATAATTTTTGAAGTTGACAAAGTCCCTGTTAGCAAAACAACTCATGAGACACTTGACAGATTGTAAGGAAACTCTCACACAGTGATCACTGGATGGACCTCGAAAACTGATTAACTTTTGGAGTCACCTCGATTGAAGGTCGACAMAACCAACTCACCTTAGAGCAGTGGTTCCCAAACTTTTTATCTTCTGACCCACAAAATATTCATGGCAAAAACTTGTGACCCCAAACATTACTGGTCTGAGTACACAAACTTTGTTAATAACCATAAAAACACAGGCTTTTTGACAATCTAAACAGCTTGTACACAAATATAAATACTTATTTTTACTTATTTTGTGTTTTTGTAATAGTTATAGGGAAAATATTACATCAGCAATTATTTTATTACACTTCAAATTGATTTCTGAAGTGTAGTGGTTCCTAAACTTTTCAGCTTTTGACCCACAAAATAACAGTAGCAGAGACCTGTGCCCCCAACTATTTTTGGATGATAAACATTTTTATCAGGTCAACTAAACATGGGCATAGTAACAATATTTTTATACTACRTTTATCCATTTTAAATACACTAACCTCACTCCTTTGTAACAACTAAGGCAAAAATGTAATTAATTCAGAAAATCTTTTCAGRACCCCACCTTGATGTTCCGGCACCCCAACCCCAACTTTGGGAAACATTGCCTTAGAGAACACAAACATGGCTATACCTCGACTAGTTTTAGATACCGAGCTAAAGTTTGGTGTGGTAGCCACATCCACCACATGGACCCACACTCAGCGCACTCATCTAAACTGAATGAACATGAGCTACAGTGAGATTTCTCCTGCTTTCCTCCCTCCATTTGCTCTCTGTCTCTTATTACTTTGACATCCGTCAGACAGATGATGATGAGAGAGAAAGTCCCAACAGGGCATCTATGGGAGGCCACACAAGATGGGAAGTTCAAAGACAAAAATCTGACACACACAAACAGACTTTGATTTCCAAATATGTCTGCGTGGAACACAAACATCCCCTTAGAAACGCCACACACTCGCACAGCGTGTGGAGCTGCATGCCGAGCTGGGATTTATGATGGCAAGGTGGGTGCCCAGGCATCACAAACGTTACTATACATGGAGAGAAGAGCAGAGAGGAGGAAAGTAAAAAAAAAAAAGAAAAAAGAAAAGGCAACTTGTGTTCAAGTGGAATCGTAGTCATTTAGGGGAGTCAACAGGATTCTTTTATGAGACTAAAGCTAAATGTGTTTAGAATTCTTAGAATAACAGTGGGAAACCCTGCAAACAAATCACTAATGCAGCCACTATGACATACATTCACAAAATGACGGCCAGAGGGCCAAAAGTGGCCGTGATGTCCTCTATCTGGTCCTCAAAATGCATCATAAAAATTAATTTAAACGTAATAACTCATGCCAGATTTTTAAAATAAGATCATCTTATGCTTGAGCCATTTTGGTCAAGCCATGAAAATAACATCGTGTGAGATTTCTATAATTTTGTGAGACGTCAATTTCAGAATGTGTTGTGAAAAAAATGTCTGTAAAGTTGACTTAGCTGTAGCCATATTTGTGTTTTCCCAGATCACTTTGCAGTGACAGCCATTGTTTTGATGCCAAGAGTTACTTAGTTGTAGATGATTACTTTCAGTGAGTTTAATCAAATTTGTTCAGTGTTTTATGTGAAGTTTTGTTAAGGTCAAATAAACTATAAAAAAGGTTCTGAGCAATTAATATCTTACCTGTGGAAGATAACTGTTTGAAGGTAGAGTTACATCCAACAGGAYTAGTCTGAGTGCAGCTGAGACAAAAGTGGATTGCTGCTCTCTCTCAAAGCAATGTCATTCTCTACATTTTAATAGAGTTTAATGCAAGATATAAACCGGTACAAAATTTCACATCACACAGTTTTTACATGGAATTCTGTCGTTATTTGTAAGTGCAAATAGCACTAGTAGTTAGCCAGCTGTAGCACTTCCAGCAGTAATATTATAATATTTTTGCTAGAATCACTGTGTAATGCAGTGGTTCCCAAACTTTTTGTCTTCTGACCCACAAAATATCCATGGCAAAAACTTGTGACTCCAAATATTACTGATCTGAGTACACAAACTTTGTTGATAACCCTAACAACAAAGGCTACACAAATGTAAACACTTATTTATACTTATTTTGTGTTTTTGTAATAATTATAGGGAAAATATTACATCACCAATTATTTTAATACCCTTTAAATTGATTTCTGAAGTGCAGTGGTTCCTAAACTTTTCAGCTTTTGACCCACAAAATAACAGCAGCAGAGACCTGTGCCCCCAACTATTTTTGGCTGATAAACATTTGTATCAGGTCAACTAAACATGGGCATAGTAACAATATTTTTATACTACATTTATCCATTTTAAATATACTAACCTCCCTCCTTTGTAACAACTAAGGCAAAAATGT